ACTCCCACAATTTGCCTCCTTTCTTGCTGTGAGCAGTGTAACTGTGCTGAGGTGGGCACTGGCCACCCCACAGCTCCCAGCTGCTCATCTCCCCTCTCGATTCCCATGAATGTTGCATAACTAATGTTTGCCACAGTGATAATTAAAGTAATTAGAGGCTGGTGAGTCAGCACGGTACATAGAGAGTCCAGATCCTCCCTCTCACCCAGGTGACCCTCAGGGAGCACAAAGGGGACAAAGGTCTGCATGCACAGGGACAGCCAGGTGGATGGCTCACAGGCAGGAGCCTGCCTGATGAGGTAGGTGAGATAACTTTAATTATTCCACAACAATCTTTTAGTTATCACATGGAAGTCAAATCCGAGGAAGAGAATTACTGGGCAGCAAGGCTCCTAGAATGGAACAATTTTCATTTCTCTGGAAACCTGTGCAAGAAAGGGTAAAATATGTTCAGCAGTTTTGAGAGAGGAGTTAGAAAATGTGGGAGAAACAGCTCTACAGACCCTAGAGAAGGAGGCCCAGGTGCCAGGGCAGATATTCACATCAGAGAGCAGCTGGGTGGGCACCTGGTGGCCAGCCAAGGTCAGCCCACCCCAACAGACCATCAGAAGGAGGGAGACTCTTCTGTCTCCTTAACCCTGGCAGACCCAGCTCCTCATCAGCTTCATGTCATCTCCAGGTCTGAGCCCACAGGCTCCAAATTTCCTGTCCAAAAGAACCACTCCCAGATGGGCGTCCTCCAGGCCCYCTGTAGGTCCAGTGATAAACACTCTGCCCAAAAGAGGCATCTTTCCTCTCCCTCYCTAATCAAATCTTCCCTTTCCTGTTTTCCTTTTCCAGAGGAAGGATGGCAGAAGGCCAGCCACACCTCTGCATTCAGATGTCAGACTCCAGCACAAATGGCATTCCCAGCAGCAGGCAGYCCTCGCCAGACTTGGCTGGCAGGGCAGGAAGCGTGGTCACCTTCCACAACATCTGCTACCGTGTGAAGACAAAGACTGGGTTCCTGTGTTTCAAAAAAACAGCCAATAAAGAAGTTTTGAGAAATGTCAAGTACGTATTTAAACACCTTTTTAGAGTGTGTGTGTGCCTTATTTCTGTCCAGATGGCTGTGTTCCCTCATGGCACTGAGCTATTAAGCACAATGTGCATACCAAGATTTAGAAAAGTTATTTGTATGTTGGTTGCTTTGTGTTTGCTGCCAGCTGTGCTCAGCTCCAGCTCCTCAGTCCCTCAGTCTGCACAACAGGGAGCTCCCTGTCCCTGTCCCTGGGTCCAGCCCTCCTGGCTGCTATCAGCACGGGGCACAGCCAGCTCTGGCTGCCCCACACTCCATGGCAATCCTCCAACTGTGCCAGGGTGTTCAGCTGAGATACCAACAGCCTGACCTCCATGGCTGTGTCTCCTTACCTCGGRTGACCTTGGGAGAGGTTAATTTTTTGGTGGGTCTGACTTCAAACATTTAGCACATTAATGTAAGTGAGGATTAGGTTAACTTTGAAGAGATGCAAAGGTTTCTGTGAAGGTTTTGGCRATTTGTTGTTGAGTTGTTCTGGGGTATTTTCCCCAACACTGAGCACTGCTGCAGTAAAGCAGTCGTGTAATTGCGGCCTTTGTTCAATAATAGGTGAATAAAGTTTGCCCATTCACAGTTCAGTAGCTAAACTTAGTGGCAAATGCTCATAAAATATGTTATTCCAAGTCAACCATGACTTTCAGCTCTTTCACTGCTTTGTAYACCATAAATATTCACCCTTTTGTGTAGCTCTGTCTGTCCTGCTCTTTGCCCATGGCATTTCCACRCTTGCTAAACATGAGCTCTTAAAAGCTTTGTTACTTTCCTCCAGGGCCTTGTGTTGTGGCACCTCAATTGATTCACATGGGTTATTTGCAACATTTTCTACTTGGCTTTTGAGTTTCATGGGGCTTTAAGGTCAGATTCAGAGAAATTATCAACTGTATTTTAGGTAAATCCCTAGTTTATTCTGTCTACAGGGACCATTATTCTCTCAATGCCTTTAAAACTGAATATGGGTAACAGAAGTGTGTGCTTCTCTTGCAGAGGTCCATGTGGTAAATATATATATATATTTTTTTTTTTTTGCTACATTTTAGTCATGATTCTATGCTGTCTTTGCTATATGATGGTTAGTTCATGAATTAGGAATAAAAGCTGAGGTGAAGTTCGATCACAAATATTGCTGCTGATTAGGCAGCTTCRTTAATTCCAAGATTAATGGGATGCAGAAAGTAGTAGTACAGGTGAGTTACACTGGCCTACCAGCTGGAACAGAAATAACCCCACACCAACTCTTCTGTAAAACCTATCTGTTTTATCTTACAGTGGCATCATGAAACCAGGACTGAATGCAATTTTGGGACCCACTGGCAGTGGTAAATCCTCGTAAGTGCCCCCTTTGCCCTCCACAGAAATTACACCAAGGAGAAAACGGAACTGCACACATTTAGGAATAATGGATTTCTCTTTGAGAGAAAGATTGAGTCATTATTTAGGTCTGTGCAAATCTCACTGTTTCCTGAGAAATGCTGGAATTCAAAAAAGACAATCAGTTGATATTGACAAAGGTGAAATCCAGCTGTAGTCCACACTTTGCTGACACTTCTCTYCTAACACATCATTCTAGGTAAAACTCAAACTATTGAAAAAAAATGGACAGGAAACTGCACAGATCTCATCTGCTTAGGAAACCAGGACAAAAGAAACTTAGTCCTTGAAAGTGGTGGGGGTTTTCTAAACTGCAAACMTTTAATGTGGTATGCTTTCATGCTGCTGTTTGTTCCATGAGCTGCGTTTATGCTTCAGAGAGCTTTGCCTCCTGCCTGTTCATCTGACAAAGGAACCAACTTTTCCTTTAGGCTGCTGGACATTTTGGCTGCAAGGAAGGATCCCCATGGGCTCTCTGGTGACATTTTGATCAATGGAGCTCCTCAGCCTGCCAACTTTAAATGTACCACTGGGTACGTAGTACAGGTAAGTAATTTTTATTGCTGTGGGTTCCATTGTAAGAAGTTGCTGCTGTGTTGCAAATACTTTGCTGTGATCCAAGAATCTGGGAAAGGTCCTTAAAATTATGATCAGCATGTTACAGAAAAGTGGTGTCCCAAACCACATGTAGCTCTGAACTTTCTACACCTGACAGATTCTCTTTGCAAGAGACAAGCAGAAAATATATAAAAAAAAAAAAACTTTCCCTGCTCCCTCCTTTGATAAACAGATTGGGAACACCTTCATCCTAACCCACATGGATCCAACTTCTCTTTTCCTTCCCTCTTTTCTCCCTGCTCTCACCTATGGTGGGCTGAGGCTGCACTGGCAAACACACTGTGATAATGACCTGAGCTGTAGCTGCTCCTTAGGTCTCTTCAGCCTCTCCCTCAACACCTCCAAAAAACTGAACAAGGTAAGAATTCATGAGGGATAGTTTCTAACACTTTGCTGTTTATGCATCTCGATATCCTGCATGATGGAGGCTGCTCCTGTGTGGCTCTGCTTTATGCATTGAGGCAAATGCAATTACGTGCATGAAATCACCGCTCTGCTGTGCCACAGGCATGGAGGGGGCTCTTACTGCATGTTCTGGCTGATGCTGCTGTCCCTCTGCATGCAAGGACAGTGTAAAACATAGGCAGATGCACTTCTCAGAGAAAAAATGGAAATTGCTGAGCAACCACCAAATATCTACCCTTTCTTTTTTTTAATGAAGGACGATGTGGTGATGGGAACCCTGACTGTAAGAGAAAACCTGAAGTTCTCAGCAGCACTCCGCTTGCCAAAGTCRGTGAAGGAGCAGGAAAAAAACGAACGAGTGAATCAGATCATCAAGGARCTGGGTTTGAGCAAAGTGGCAGATTCCAAGGTAAAGGCCTGTAAACATGGTGCTTAAACCATGATCCAATAGCAAGTGGTTTATTAATTAACCAAACGGCTCATTGTGCCAGATTAAAATAAAAAATTTCAACAGACTGTTTCAGTGATGCAAAACTTAATAATATTTCTGTACAGACTGTGCTGATGTAATCATACAGGAAGGGAAACATTGCAGGGAAAGGAAAAAGTAGTCTGTGGTCAGACAAAAAGACAAGACCTCAAGTAACACTAACATTAAGAGYAAACCTGTGTGTGAGATAACATTTACATCTGTTTCTGAGGGCAGGGCCAAAATTCCTTACAGCTCTCCCCAAATACTGCCATGTTGCTAGGATGCTGTCCACTCAAGGATTTCTCTGAAATTTTTATGAGATAAATTTSTTGTTTTGTGTCAGGTTGGCACCCAGTTCACTCGTGGAGTGTCTGGAGGAGAGCGGAAAAGGACCAATATTGGGATGGAGCTCATCACGGATCCTGCCATCTTGTTTTTGGATGAGCCAACCACAGGACTTGATGCCAGTACTGCTAATGCTGTTCTGCTGCTACTGAAAAGGTGATCTCCCAAGTGAGAATTATTCTCTCACACAGGCACTCTAAATACTATCTYAATACTTTCCTTTTAATTTCATTTTCTTCCCCTTCCCTCTCTGACACACCAAGTCAATCAGATTCTGTTAAAACTTAACTGAACTTTCAAATTCCCTTATCTAAACACTGAATCAACTCRCAAAACTGACACCTCTCTTGTTCTTCACATTCAGGATGGCAAAACAAGGAAAAACCATCATCTTCTCCATCCACCAACCGCGGTACTCCATATTCCGACTGTTTGACAACCTGACCCTGCTGGCTGCRGGGAGGGTGCTGTACCACGGGCCAGCCCAGCACGCCATTGAGTACTTCCAGACCATTGGTGAGCACAGCTTCCAGCAGGGACAGCCTTTAGTTGCACCARCTCAAGTAAAATGCCAGTAGCTCAGGGCCATAATTGGACACGGTGTGTCCAAGCAAGCCCAGGATTTTTACAGACTAAGCATTTTTCTGGGTGTTTCACCTCCTGACTCGCATGTGGGTTTGGATGAGCTGTTCCTGGGTGCATTTCAGCTAGAGGAAACCCAAGCTAGGCTTGGGAAGAACACACTGCCAGCCGTCACCTTGCTTTTACCTGGCTGTGCTGCTCATCCCTCGGGAAAGCACAGACTTTCCAAAGCCTCTGGGGCAGGCTGCTCCATGGGCAGGATGTGTGGCTGTGTCCTGGCAGCCAGGAACAGCCTTTGGCTGGCCACACAACCCCACTGAGGGCTCGAAACGCTGTCACCACAGGTTACCAGTGTGAGCCCTACAACAACCCCGCAGACTTCTTCCTGGACGTCATCAATGGAGACTCCACYGCTGTGGCCCTGAACAAGGCTGGTGAAAGTAACTCAGGTATGAAACCCAGAGCTGACTCAAATTATCCTGAYGTGTGTGGGAATGGCAATTTAAGGAACTGTTTTGTTGACTCTCAGCACAGAGAAAGAGCTTCTTTCATCTTCAAGGCAAACCAGCTGAAGTCCTGCAGAAACAGAGATGGTGAATCAGGGCAATTGTTCCAGTTAAGGACATAATCTGATAAAGTTATGACTTGTAGAATTTACCCAATGGAATGGTTTTTGTGTTAGGAAATTATTGTTTTTCTTAGTCTGAGCAGGGTGGGAAGTGTGGGTTGAGACAGGGCACCAGTGTTCACCTGACACTTCTCTGAAGATGTGCTGTGGCAGAAATTATCCTCAAACTAACAAGTCAGCTCTCACCTATGTTATGGAGCAGGCTTTCTCATCCTTTTCTCCGGCCCCTCATTAGTAGCTTAGAGTGAAAAGGGAAATGAAATAATGAATACACTGTGTGCCCAAACACGGTTTCATTATCAAAGGAGCAACCATCATTTTACAAAAATGCTGTGCTCAGAGTCTGGCAAATATTATAGCTGGCTACAAATGTTATATCTGTCACTGGATATGCACACACTGTGTTGAGAAAAAAAAAAGGAGTTCCAGCTCAAATTTATTTAAGACCAAAGTAGACACTCAGGATTACCTGCATCTAAGAGTCTGGGAAGTTCAGGATTATGTCATCAGATCTGTGAAACAGATCCCTTACAGAAACCTTTGGGGGAAAGGGGATGTAAAAACCAAATTTTCACTGAAAGTTGTGTTGGTGCCAGACTGAAACTCCCTGGGCAGACAAGGGCTTGCCTGGTCAGAGTGCTGAGAGGCTGCTGCCTGTGGGACAGGTTGTGCAGACAAACACAGAAGTTTGGTCTTATTTATACCAACTTTATTGAAGTGCTATGGGACTGAGTGCAGTGAATCACTGGGACTACATGTRCATCATAATTCTTCTGTTTTTTTAATCTTTTCAGCAGAGAGCACTGAAGAACGCTCTGAATATGACAAAACCTTGGCTGAGCAGTTAGCAGAAAAATATTCCAACTCTGCCTACTACCAAGAAACAAAAGCACAATTAGAGAGTATTTCTTCAGGAGATAAAAAGAAAAGCAGAGGAGTRTTCCAGAAAATCACATATGCCAATTCCTTCCTTCACCAGCTGAAATGGGTGTCCAAGCGCACGTTTAAAAATCTGATAGGAAACCCTCAAGCTTCCATAGCTCAGGTAATGCTGTTTGAATGCTGTTTCATCTATAGTTTTGTGGTATACATTGAATTTATTCAACTCCTGGATTATTAGATAAGTCATTGAGAGAGTTTTGCCTCTCGGTATTGTGACTGCAGTAAGCATCTGAAGAAAGAGTGTTCAGGGTCTGGGAATCCGGGAATACAAAGTGTCTGGAATGCTCCCAAATCTGGGACTGTTCAGYAATTATTTTTGGACTACTGGAAGACTTTGGGAAGCAAGACCTTTCCCAGCAGGGTATTCTGCTGCCCTCAGCCAGGAACATATTATGTCCCAAGTAGTGTCACACATTCACTCAAGAATATTCTTCAGATTTGACTCAAATTGTCCAAGCTTGGCACTGTGGGGTTTGGCCTTAAATCCTCTCCCCAGCCAGGAAAAGTTAGCAGACTGCATCTGTGTACTTAATTAAACTTCAGCACAAAATGAAGTGCTGGCAGTTGGCTCAAGTGCAAAAATATTTTTGCGGTCTCGTAATGCGTTTGCTGTTCGGTCATTTGACCATTCTTGCTGGCGATGGTGCCTCCTGGATAAGGTGCTGTGAAATCCACAACAAGGTCTGACACTCAGCATGGAAGAGGAACCCTAGCTCTGTTGGGGCTTTTTCAGAAGGATCAACACCCAAAGTGTTGATTCCTTCAAAGTGGAACATTGCCTTCAAAAATCAAGAATGCCCGGCAGGCCTCTGCAGAACAGCTAATCCTCAGGAATCCCATAATTCGTGGGCCAAACTCTGCAGTCACAGCACCACCAAAACTCCCACTGCTATTCTCAGCAGTTCTGGAGAGGCCAATAAAAAAATAGACCAGTAGCCAGGGATATAAATTATTTTCATCATGGTTTGTATAATGAGTGAATAAACRGCTGGTGTGGARGTAGAATGGGTCCAGAATCCCYGAGGTTAAAAGGCTCTGGGTAMGTGTGTGTGCCTGTATGTTGATACTATGGAGATCCTTAATAATTGCTTTGTAAAAGCTTGACCTTGTGACAAGAATTAGGCTCTCAGGCACCTCCTTAATATCCCAAGGTTAATGGTCCTGACTTGTTTCTCACAATCTTTTTTATCTCCCCACCCTCATTAGGGGTGGATTTGTGCAGCATTCTTTTAGGGGTACATGGCTCATTAAGCCTTTTTTGCATTAATCTGCTCCAAATTGGTCTTGAAATGATCCCTGCTTTCCAYTGCAACTGGCTTAGGAGCTGAATTATCCCTGACATTTGCTCCTTTCGGCAGGATCTTAGYGAGAGGGTACCATGGATCAAGCAGTTYATGGTGTTAAGACTCATGCATTGCCTGGGCTTAAAAATGACAGAACTGCCTGATACCATCAGTTTTCCTGAGATTTTTGTCATTTGCATTTARTATTCAAAAAGTGTGATGCACACACTTCAGTCTTTTAAATTACATCCTTGAGGAAGCTGTTATCTTTGCTATTTAAATTCTGTTAACAGACTGCAAATATCAGCACATCTGATATTTACCACTCTGTTGTAGCATCTTGTTAAAAACAATCCCATGAATAAGATGTGTGTCAGAGACCAGTAATTAAACACTATGGAGCATGAAAATGATCTGTCACCCTCTTCCTAGCAGTCAGGAAAACTTATGAAGCAGCGAGTGATACTTTCCCTCCCCTTTTCTCCTTTTCCCATTCAGGTGTGTGTTACAGCTTTCCTGGGGCTTATTGTTGGTGCCATTTTCTTTGGGCTTAAAGAGGACGCCTCTGGACTGCAGAACAGGTCAGTAAGTCTAGGTAATGGATATTTAAGAATTTGATGAAGTTCCTTTTAAAGGAGCTTAATACCTTTTTCAAGCTAGTGCTTCCCTTCAGCAGATAAGGCCAAACCTGTGTGGCCTGGAAGGGAGAATGTGCTTTTGTCCCTCTACCAAGGGGACAAAAATCCCTGCAGAACTGAGAGGGTTAAAATATACAGATTTGAGGCTACTTAATTCTAGGTAAYTCAAGCTTTAGCCTGGCAACTGTTTCTGTTCACACACTGGAATTTACCAGTGGTAAATCACCTAAAGCTAGATTTTCAAATTATGCCGTTCTATGTATCATTTTGACAGCTGTGTGTAGGTGACCTGGCACATCAGTTTGCAACTGTGAAACTCCTGAGTTCTTAATCCTGAAACACTTCATATCATTTGCAAAAAAAATGGTCCAGTTTTAAATAGAGTATGAAGTGCCTTACATTTTTTTTTTTGTGGAAAAGGTGAAAGCTACTTTTCACACGGGTCATTCTGCTCCTCACAGTTTGCAGCAGAAAAATGCATCACAGTCTGACAATCTTTAACATGTCAGAAAATTACATTAAGGAAAAAAAAACAAAACACAACCTGCTCAAAAAAACTCAGTTCATTTTCAATCCTTTGATGCATCAGAGAATGTGCTATCCTTACATGCCAAAATAATGACTGTGCCACGTCTGTGTCAGGCTTGTTACAGGCTCAGACTTGTAGCCAAGACTTTTCCCATGAATTTTGGGATGAGAGATCAAACACTGCCTGACTTCAGGTACTGCAGATGGATTTATGCGAGCTGTAATGGAAAAACTACATTTACAACCCTTTTTTAATGACAGCTCCCTGTTTGCTGTTTTACAGAGCCGGTGCAATGTTCTTTCTGACCACCAACCAGTGTTTCAGCAGCATYTCAGCTATTGAACTCTTCGTTGTGGAAAAGAAGATATTTATGTAAGTAAAACATACAAAAAGGTTACCAGGCTCTGCTGTTAGCCAGTGAGTTTGTCTGCCCTGCTGTAGYTGTCATTGAAGTACAGCTAGTGCAGAGTTTTTTCCAATTGTTTCACTGATAGTGCTCATTGCAAATGTACTCTGGTAGTCTCTGAGTTGGCAGCAAASCCCCCAAATGGTACCTATGATTACAAATGGCTTTTGAGATTATTGACATAGCAGGAAAAAAAATTACTGAATACTCAATTTTGGCATTGCGAAAAGTTTGTGACTTACTGATGAGGATGATGAATACCATCTAACTCTTTAAAGCTTTGTATATTAAGATTCTTTAAAGCTATGTATATTATGCTGTATAAAATATGAAAATCTTTCAAACTTCACTCTCTCTGTCTCAATGACAAGACACATAAATGTACTATAAATCACATGCACAAATACCCATGTTCATTTKTTTATGAGAATGTCACCAGTTCTATAGTGTGTGGCTTACTGGGCAGTTGCATTACAGCCTAAATATGGAAGATTTTCCTCCAGTTTGAGCTAGAATTCATTTTTCTCCAGGTAAAAATAATAATTATCATATCATATAATATCATCATATCATAATAATATAAATATAACAATATAGTATACTAACATACATACAATAAAAATATAATAATACAACAATCATACTGGTTTTTAGCAATTAAATTTGCAATATGCTGTACCTGTCTCTGTTCCAGACATGAATACATCAGTGGRTACTACAGAACATCTGCATACTTCATAGCAAAGCTAATGGCTGATTTAATACCCATAAGGACTTTACCCAGCATCATCTTCACCTGCATAGTTTACTTCATGCTAGGCAAGTATGGTCCCCCACAGTCTTGTTCTAAGCCCCTCAATAAATCAGCATGGCATGAGTATTTTATAGAGGTGTATGCATTGACCAATATTTACACAGGCTAAAGCACTGCACTGGCATGGCAGTGGCCACTGTGGTTGCTTTTAACTCACCACGTTGTTGCCTACAGAAAGGACACACAGATTTTAGTATTCACCACAGAATCTGTGATATCTCATCTCCACTGTCCCTAGAAGGAAGCCACGACATTTACTACATAGGTTTGATGTATTCCTTCTCATCTGCAGCCTTCTTGGCTTCTGCGGACATTTACAAGACATTTGACTGATCCTTGCAAGAACACCTGAAAGAAAAAGCTTTGTTTCAAGATTTCAATACAGTCAGAATTAATATCAGCTTGTTGGCTTAGGTCTGAAGTTTTCCCCTAAGGAATAGGATCAAGGCCACATCAGCAAGAAGCTCTCAAACTGAAAATGGAGTGAGGCAGATCTTGCTACTAAATCCAYAGCCACCCAAAGTCTGCTAGGTTCTTTGGGAGATCTCTCTGCTGGAAAATAGTGAAACACTACAACTGCTGCTCATGGAAGTGCACTATAAGTTTCTCCTTTGATGGATAATTAAGAGCCACTTTGGATGTGGGGGAGTACAGTACCTGAACTTCTACACATTCTGCTGTGCTCAGTGTGACTGCAGTTTTGGGCATCCTTCCCATTCATCCCGTCCCTCACTGTCAGGACAGACACTTAAGGGCTGTCACAAGGGCTGTCACCACGGCAGCCCTGGGTGTCAGTGACACAGCATATGCTGGCAGACAATTTATATTCTGCAGGCAGGACACACTGGGAAAGTCAGGATAGAATTCAGGTTACAGTGGAGCTTTTGGCAGGATCACACTGAAAYCCTTCTCATTCTCATCTTTAAGGTCTGAAGCCAACAGTAGAAGCCTTCTTCACCATGATGTTCACCCTTATGATGGTGTCCTACACAGCCACCTCCATGGCACTGGCCATTGCAGCAGGACAGAGCGTGGTGGCTGTAGCAAAYCTACTCATGACTATCGCCTTTGTTTTTATGATTGTGAGTAGCACTGTTCTGTTTTTTAGACTGGATCATGAAATCCTAATTCTGCAAAGTGCCTCTTGGGGTTGAGCATATCCTGATTTGTCTGATTTGAGCATCCTGATAGCTGTGGAGTTGAATATTTTGATTTGTCCTTTGAATGAACAGGAACTGAGGGATGGAGGGTTGGGTGTGAGGAAGAGAGTGGCTCCTCCGCTCTCTTCTCAGCGGCTCTGGCAGCCAGCAAACTGCCTGGGAAGTAAAACAGCCACTTAGGGCTGCATTCCATWCTCTCTGCCTTGACTTTCCGAAAGGCAAATGTGTCTGGGTAACAGAAATTATTCCTTCCCTCTTCCTTGTTCTTCCACTGGAACAGTTTCTTCTTCTAGAAACGCTTTCCCATTTCTTTTCATCTGAAGAAGTAAAGTCAAGAGCTAGAAAAGAACAYGTGATAAAAGCATGCAATTTGTAACTTGTTTTTGTTGTTTTTGTGGCTTTTTTGGTAATTCTTGCCTCTAGATTTTCTCTGGTTTGCTGGTCAATCTCACAAGYGTCATGTCCTGGCTCTCCTGGCTCAAATACTTGAGCATCCCTCGATATGGAATGACAGTAAGTGCTCTGTTTTCCTGTCTACAGACCTGGAAATCATTTTCTAGAAATGAAGGTCTTTACTCATGGCAAAGAAATTTTCAAACTTGATGGTCTAATGAGCAAAAGGAAAACTAATTAAGTGCAGCAGCCTTGGAGTGTTGTGCAGTATCTTGAAACAAGAAAGGCTCCTCATCAACCAGCACCCACTGCTGTTTACAAGACCTCATTTCTGTAATTTGGAAACACCTCGTGTGAGAGACACTGAACCACTGCATCCACTGGAATGCAGCTGGACAGAAATTTCAAAGTAAAGGACAATGCTATCACCACCACCCCCCCCCCMAAAAAAAAAAAAAAAARTAAAAATCTTCTGTTTGCCATCAATCAAACAAAAACTTGTCAGGCTAAAGCTTTTCTCCTAATTTATGAAAGTTAAAGGTGATTTTTCACAGAGAAATTTGGGCTTTACTCTGTCTGTGCAGAAATAGCCTGGCCTGGGGAGGTGGTAAAGCCTGTTCYGATGCATGCTTTACAGGGTGTGGGCTGCATACATTCCTCTCTTAAAAGAAAAAAAAGAACTCTGCTACTTTGCTAAAGAATAGGGATTTGGCCAATGTAATAGTGGTACCACCACATTTCTACAATTAATTTTAATTGCATTAAATCTATGCTCTTTTACCTACTAATTTCTGTTGTCATTGTTTCTTTTATTTTAAAAGGCTTTACAGATCAATGAGTTGACTGGCCTGAACTTTTGTGGCAGCACTAACAGCACAGTTTTAAACAGCACCAGTAGATATCGACAGATGGGCCAGCTGTAAGTACTTTTGTACACTGGAATTATTCCTACTATCTGTAACTTTAGAAATCCGCAAACTTACTTTGGTGTCAGAGATACTCACTGATGACCTGAGAATCTGTGAGTTTTGCATGGAAAATGAACCTTGGACTGGGTGTTTGCATTCTGGCTGCATGGAGCATTCTGATTTTTGTCATATTTAGTGTTTATAACACCAGAGATACCTGGCAYTATGCGCCTCACTTTTCTTCAGACTGTATTTAATGAGAGCTATGCACACCCACACTGCAATTGTACAGCCTCACAAAATCCATTTCAGGTTTCTACATGAATCTGGAGCTACAAGAAAAACAAATTTACAAATGGGAAATTACCCACTGACACAGATCTGGTGTTTGCCCACCTGCCATACACATGCAATTACACTACAACCCCCAGAGATCTTCCCAGATCCTCACACTGACCAAGTTCATCACTGTGTGTGTATTTATCTGTAGGGTGTGCACTGGAGAGGACTATCTGAAGAATCAAGGCATTGATGCCAGCCCCTGGGGCCTGTGGCAGAACCATGTGGCTCTGGCCTGCATGTCGGTGATCTTCCTCACCATCGCCTACCTGAAACTGCACTTGATGAAGAAGTTCTCTTAAAACCAGCGGGAACCATGAAATTCCCACTGTTCAGTAGTTTGTTGAAGTGACTGTGAAACTGACTTATTTTTAAAGAGACCTTTCTTTGTACTTTTATTATTACCCAAGTCGACACTGTGAATGCTATTCTTGTATATTAAGCACTTACCATTAATTTACTTTGCTGAAATGTCTAGCACAACTCACTCCTCTCTGCCACCAAAAGTGTACAGCTATTCATTTCTTCAAGAGATGTTCAGTCTTTCTGCATGCTGTAGCTATGAACTTGTCACACATTATAACTAATATTTAGTGGCTTAACCTGAAAAAAAATAGTGGTTTCATACTTTAATTAATGCCTACCTTCACCAGCAAGTAATTCAGTCCAGTGTGGTGCTTATCAGGACACCAACARAGTCTCAGCTGCTTACATGGTCACTGGATATGTGAGACATAAAGGGACAAAATCCCTTCCATGCCAGTTCCCTTTTCTATTTGGGAATCATCACTGCTCTAGAATGTACTAATTGCTGCCATCAAGCCYTTCTTGCTTCACTCAAGTTGTCGAAGCACCGTTTTTTAAAATAAAGCTGTACTTACCTACTGTGCCAGTTCCCATAACTCTTGTCCTGAAATTTGTGTTTCCCCTGCATAACTGCACGTCATCTKCTCTGCCCCACTAGTGCTGCTGTCGTGAGTAGTTCTTGGTCGTTTTTATGGTGACCTGTTCCAAATGTGTGACCAAACAGGATGGTGCCACCTTTGCACAGGTCCACAGACTCCAGCAATCCCTTCCTGGCAGGCTGGCTTTTCCTGGCCATGTCCAGCAATGCTAGCTCATCTCCTTCTGTTCTGCAGAATTGTGCATAGTAAATGCATAAAAATGCATAGAAGACAGGTTTACAGCTCTTTCCTGGGCTGTTCCTGTTGGTATCATTGCTCCTGCAGCATTTGCCCCGGTTTGTGTAGGTTGTACAAAACAGACTTACAAGAACTTGTTTCTGTGAGAGACCTAGAGACACAGAATATCCTGAGCTGTAAGGGATCCCAGAAGGATAGTGGAGTCCCATTCTTAGCCCTGCACAGGACATCCCCAAGAGTMAAATCCAGTGCCTGATTGTTGTCCAAATGGTTCTTGAACTCTGTGAGGCTTGGTGCTGGGACCACTTCCCTGAGGAGCTGTTCCAGTGACCAAACMCCCTGTGGGTGGAGAACCTTTCCAAATATCCAAAACTTCCCTGACACAACTTCAGGCCATTCCCTTGGYCCTGTCACTGTCAYCACAGAGCACAGATCAGTGCCWGCCCYTCTTCCCCTCATGAGGAATTTGCAGACTGCAGTGAGGTCTCCCYTCAGTGTTCTTTCTCCAGGCTGAACAGACCAAGYGCCCTCAGYCCCTCCTYACACTGCCTCYCCTGCAGACCCTCCATTCCCAAGGCTCTCCCTTCATGTACACCACTCCTCCAGGGAGGTTGTGATTCTGTCTGCTACAAAAACCATCCAAGGCCGAGTGACAGAATCAATGGAGCAGAAAGAGTGCATTCTCTCCTCTTCCTCTCAGAAATACTTGGTTTGGAAGCAGTGCAGACCTGGGAYAAGAACCTGAGGCAGAGAAGTGAGGGGGAAGGAGAATGGTAAAGAGCCCACATTGTTCTCCAGCCTCCCTTTGCAAGCCTTGCACTGAGGGCTGTGAAATGAGACCTCCTGCACTTGTAAACTCTGGCTGTGCCCCAGAATATTTCATTGTGAGTTTTGAAACAAATGACATGGGGCCTGTGGAATAACATTTCAGTCAAACATCTTTACTCAAAGTTTAACTGCATCCCAGGTTTAGGTGTTTTATCACCTTGCAGTGAAGTTGTTGCTCAGAGTGAAGTCACGAACTCAAGACCCTCCCAATCTGTGTTCTGCAGTCAGACACAGGACTACTGCAGGAGCCACTGCTAAATTCCCATAACATCAGCTACACAACTGAGGAGTAGCATTTGAGGTTTTAAAAAATTAGATGATACTCTAATAAATATCAAGTAGGCATTTTAAAAACATGATGTTTCATATCCCTTTTTTATTTAACTTTGCATTAGCATCCAGCAAAGGAACTGAAAAGATGAAATAGCACAATGCAGATAAAATTGCAGATTCACATATACAATAGCACACACTAAATTAAATTTTCAATTTCCAGTTTAGCTAGAATGGGATTTTGTACAGGAAGGTGTTGATATAGACCTGAATTTCAGATACAAGACACTTGTGCCTTAACATTAAGAACACATGCACAAATAGCATCACACATGCACATGAGATTCTCAATACTATAAAGAGCCCCATAAAACTGTGGAAAAAAACTTTTTTGATCATTAATATTTCTGAATTTAGCTATTTGAATACACACAGTTTTCAGAAAATAGATTATGATCCTATTAAGCTTTAAAATCCCTCTATCTGACCCCTGCATGAAAAAAAACCCAGATTACTATTAATTTATACTTTGGTAAATTACCTAAATTGATGAAAGTAAAAATCTATTCCTCTYCTTGGACTACCAGGAATCTGTCATCTTAAAATTATACTAACGGATAGATTCTTTATTTTTTATAGTGGTATGGCTGAACCATAAGCCTGACCTTGTGTATTTCTATGCATATAGCTAGTTTGAACCAAATACAAATGAAATCACAGTTTTGTAGTGCTCAGGCTTTTTATTAGTTCTTGACAAATTTGCAGTTTACAGTATATCAAAATTGGCAGACATTGAAGTAAGCAAAATGAATATACAATTAGGCTAATTTTGGTTTGCAGTGGTATTATGAGAAGCAATCTTAACACAATTTTGCCTWAAGATTTTCTTTGATACTGACATGTCAAATATTCCTAAGGGTTCAAGCAAAAGGTTTTTCCACATGAGCTGTATTTCTCATCCATGGATGTGTCATCAAGCAGGATATGACTGTGTGATCTTTCTGTGGGTGAAGAGATGGAATAACCCCAAGAACTCTGCATTGCTCCTGTTCAAGACCAGAATCTGGAACAGACACATTCCATCTTTCTGAAACATCTTTGGTCAGTTTAGGCACTTTGATGCTCAGTGACATGATTTGCAGGGCAGAAATTTTACTGTGTAAGTTCAAGTTCAAGAAGTGAATTGCAGCAAATATAGGTGTGTTATTCATTGCACTCACATTTCAATTTCTGCCTATTTTAATGTTGCTTTTTGAAATACACGGGGAGTGCATAACCRCTGTTTGTATCTGATTCTGGCAATAACTGAGCCGTTGTCTTTCTAACTTTCCATCTTTCTAAAGGCATGAACCAACCTGCTGAATCTATTTATGAACTTTACATCCAATCCTGAACCAGAAGTCGTGCCCCCTTTGCTATCTCTGKCAATGCTGGGGCTTTTTTTGTTTGTTACAAACAAACAAATCTGTGTTGTTGCTCTTTCAAGCACCTTTCAGAGTATTACCCCCCAGCCCTTCAATACCTTTTTGTGAAATCTTACTTTAGTAATTTSTGATGCCCAGTATAGTTTTGGTCTTTTTCAGGTTGAAAATGTGAGTATAAAACAATCTKGACTTTTTTTCTGAGTATTACCACTGAAGACACAACTGTTGTGTCCCTGAAAAATGCATGTGATGGTTCTTCCATTATGACAAGGTGGCTCCTCTGTGGCAAAAGCACACCTTGAGAACAAGCAATCAGAATATGTTGTTTGCAAGATAGTAACCTACTTCCATAGGTTAAGAATATTTTATWAAAAAATTCTGAGGCTAGATTAGTTTGAAGACAAATTTAGAGGATACTTGTAAAAATCTTGATGAGATTTATGCAGACAAGAGTTCAGCTTTTATCTTTCCAGAACATTCAGAGCTGGGACACTGCTTATACATCAATTAAATTATCTAAGCTTTTGGGCAGCTCACATTTATTCTAAATGTATCATCTTCACACATATGGCATTAGGATTAACGTTGATCTAATCACTAATTATTGTAATGTAATTTGTTGGTAAGATGTCATGCTGCTGGGGCAAATGAAAGCTTCAGAGCACAAAAACTTGGCCAAGAGTGTTCTGTACCTTTGGTTTACTTACACATCTGTTCTTTTTAAGCAAAAGGAAATAGTAAGGAGATAGCAACAACATGGTTATTCCAAAAAACTTGACAGGAAAGGTACTCCATGTCCTGGTATTATGAAGAAATGAAAATGGACTTTTTGCCTTTGGAAAAAAGAAAAAAAATAATCTCAGATGTAAAACTGAAGAAATCTGAAGCCCAGATAATTTCAGCTGGTCCTCATAATTTCAACATTTAAAGAGTTATAAATGTGATCACACAGCCTGTGTTCCAACMTGAAAATAAAACAGATTTCAGTATATGGCAGTGGTTTCTGAGAAAGAAAGAATCAAATTAAGTTGAACTATCACATTCTGAACAAACTTTGACACAGTGTTGCATAGATAATATTTACCACAAAAGTCCTAAACTTTTCTTGCTTTATACTACTCATTTCAGCATTTGGTCATCTATAAGAACATATTTACATAAAACAAATGTTTCTTCCAGCAGTGTTCAATACTTAACTCTGTAAACTTGTAAAATTCTATACCTCAGTTACATATGCAGAAATTACAGTAGTAGTCATGTCAGACTTAACTGTCACACTGTAGGCTTTAAATTAAGATCTTATTTTTTTCTTTTTATCCAGCACTGTACTTTACATGTTCAGTGAAAGGTGTCTCTGCCCATGGCACTGGGGCTGGCACCTGGTGCTCTTTAAAATCCCTTCYAAACCAAACATTCTATTATTCCTTGGAATCTCTGGTTCTTCCCTTTAGTTTGGGACTGGCTASTACAACCAGATTGTTGCACAAGCCAGGAGACACAACATCCCTGTAGGAACTCTATAGGAACTCTAACACTACCTTTACAAACAGAGTAAGTGTGTCTGTGGTGGGGAGGGGGAGTTGGGAATTATCAGGAGAAGGGAAATGAGTCCAGAATCCCCGAGGTTAAAAGGCTCTGGGTACGTGTGTGTGCCTGTATGTTGATACTATGGAGATCCTTAATAATTGCTTTGTAAAAGCTTGACCTTGTGACAAGAATTAGGCTCTCAGGCACCTCCTTAATATCCCAAGGTTAATGCATTTTCACAATCCTTTTTATCTCCCCACCCTCATTAGGGGTGGATTTGTGCAGCATTCTTTTAGGGGTACATGGCTCATTAAGCCTTTTTTGCATTAATCTGCTCCAAATTGGTCTTGAAATGATCCCTGCTTTCCACTGCAACTGGCTTAGGAGCTGAATTATCCCTGACATTTGCTCCTTTCGGCAGGATCTTAGCRAGAGGGTACCATGGATCAAGCAGTTTATGGTGTTAAGACTCATGCATTGCCTGGGCTTAAAAATGACAGAACTGCCTGATACCATTGTTTCCCTCAGATTTCTGTCATTTGCATTTAAAAAGTGTGATGTACAGAATTTAATGATTCTATCACTAGCTCGACTGAAAACTTTTTTTATGTATGAAAATTCCTCTTTAGTTACACTTTGACAGCAAGCGATTTAATCTGGACTCTCAAACTTTCAAAGACTTATTTTCAGTTAGGTTTTAGAGGATTCAATCTGGTTGAAGATTTTTTTTTCATCTTCCATCTGAACTACTTAAAAAAAAAACTAAAAAAAAATCACAAGCTGAAGATTGTTACTTTCTAAAGAGCTATTAAACTCATTTAAATCAATTAGCTTGAATGAAGTTTATTATAGCAACAATCTTACAAGATTCCACTTTTCAATTTTGCTCTTTTCAGTGAAGAAAATAA